GGCGGATTGTTTGAGCTCAGGAGTTCGAGACCAGCCTGAGCAAGAGCAAGACCCCGTCTCTACTAAAAATAGAAAGAAATTAATTGGACAGCTAGAAATATATAGAAAAAATTAGCCAGGCATGGTGGCGCATGCCTGTAGTCCCAGCTACCCAGGAGGCTGAGACAGGAGGATCACTTGAGCCCAGGAGTTTGAGGTTGCTGTGAGCTAGGCTGACGCCACGGCTCACTTTAGCCCAGGTGAGATTCTATCTCAAAAAAAAAAAAAAAAAACACCACGAGAATCCTAAAAGCCTGTAATGTGCACAACGTTCACACTGTATCTGAAGGCCCCTCACATCACATCCTGAACGTGCAACAGCTGGCCTATTGATCACCCACCACCTCCAAGTCCTCACTGCCCCAGAGACCCTCAGCTAAGCATTCAGCAGAATGCCCTATAGACGGCAGTCATGTTCAGTATGACCGCTGACCTGGGGAACACAATAAGGCCAGACCTCTTCTAAGGCTTCAAGCATAGTCCCTCATTTAACGATTAGCACCCCTCACCGCACCCCGCTACGCCCAGGCAGTTCAGTTATAGCGCCAGTGCACACGTGAGCACGTGGCAGCTCCTGTGTGGGGGAGGACAGACCTGAACCTGGCCATCCTGCACGCTGCCGCTGCTCCAGGAGTCCCAGTGAGGTGTCTCAGGGAAACTCGGGAGGGAGTCTTGGGAGACCCCAAGATGTATCCACCCAGGAGGGCAACCCCCCAGGCACCGCACCCATGGAGTGTCAGAGAACGCAGGGTAGACTGAACACACAGAACCCAGGGCCAGCATGCCATCCTGATCTTTTTATTTTCCCTGATCCCAGATGGTATTTATATGCGTTTCAATTTTTTATAATAAAATTTTTTTCATCTTTTTAGATTAAGGTGGGCATAGATGAACTTTTAAGTATTTATTCTCATAAATAATAAATGAAATGATAAATGAACAATGCTTGCATGCGCAGGGGTGTGGATTAGCAGGCCCGAGCCACCTCAGTCTGCTGTTATGAGCGCCTGGCTGTGAGGCGCACGGCAAGAACAGAAAGAGGTCAAAGTCACACACCAGCAGCCAGCGGGGCCTGAGCTCAAGATCTTCTAGACCAATGAGGACCTAGATAAAGGCTGGAGAAATAAATATCTACTTAGAAATGACACTAACACAGCTTTCAAGAGAGCCCAGCTGACAACGCAAAGCTAGAACCAACAGAATCCCTTTGGGTTTGTACCTAAACATACAACTTGGAGCTAACACAAAGCAATTAGAATTAACTTATTCTCAGGAACATATTACTGGGACTCAGTCACCTGTGACAGTGATTTCGAGCGTACTTAACTGGGCACTGTGCAAAGGATGTTACCAAACTCAGCTCACGGTAACCCCAGGGGGTACAGTCACCCTTCAAAGGGCAGCACGAAGGCCCGAGAGGCTGAGCGAACCACCAGGGTCCCCCGGCGAGAAGAAGATGGTGCTGGGAGGTGAACGCGAGCCTAGCTCCAAACCTCCGCTCCTCAATCCCACCCAACTTCTCCTCAAGTCAGACAGAGGACATGTGGCAATCCCACGTGCACCCCCACTGCTGCTCGGCAGGAGAAAGGCCAGCGCCCCGGCGCGAGGATCCCTTCTTCTGGTTCGTGTCTCATTTCTGAGCACAGCTCATCACTACCTTTATGTCACTTCCTCTTCTATCCCTCAAAGCAGATTTTATCTAAATTATTCCAGGAAGAGGCACACAGAACACTAAATAGCAGCACATAACTTATGCTTCTGTTCTGACTTCACGAAATCTAACAGTTAAGTCTGTCGTGAGGTGAGTTTAATATTTTTACAGACATTACCTTGACATTTTTGAGAAGAACGTCATCTCTACCCAAGCCAGGGCCTACGACGAGGGCATGCAATCGTGGCAGCCACTTTTCCACCTCATGAACAGCATCAGGGCTGTCACTAAATAAGGAAGAGAAGGGCAGATGGTTTACTTAAAATGTTTCACTTGTTTACTTTTTTAAACATTTTATTTTGATAAAATAATTTAGATTTACAGAAAATTTGCAAGAACAGTACAGAAGGTTCCTGGCCTTCGCCCAGTCTCCCCTAAGGCTAGCATTCACACACTGACGTTCCAGATTATCACAACCAAGGAGGGGACACAGGTTCAGTACTGGCACGTGGACTGTGGACATTCTGGATCCCACTGGCCCCCCGTCCCTACCCGTGCCTGTTTTATGATCAACCCAGACCCCACACTGCATTCAGCCATCATCTCCGCTAATCCTATCCATAGATTGGATTCTTTTTTTGTTTTTGCCCACCCAGATAACCCAGGATGGTTTAGTTTTTTAACGCCCTGATTTAGATGCCTGGCTTTCAACACTTAAAATAAGTTAGAATAGACATTATGGCCAATTTCAAAATTATCTTTGCCCTCTAAAATTAACCAGTTTGTTTCCATGACACATACTTGTAGGTGTCAAATTACACTCTGTCCCCTGCATGACAGGCTGGCTTAGGACTCGCGGGGCTGCCCGTTATAGCACTGAAAACGCACTCATTCAGAGTAAACTGTGTTTTGTTTTTTCACATCTTCCTGTTTAGCATCTCATCTCTGAGAGTCCACTCTGTTAAGGGCTTTGTCCCTTGTGCTCCCCAACAAGCTGCCCTTGTCAAGGTCACCAACAACTCCACAACGTGAGATGCATCATCATTCATTGTTAGCCCTCATCTCAAACTGGCCTAATGTGGCATGGGCCCTTCTAGAACTGTTCAGAAACAGCTGCTTTGCTGACTCCAGGCCACCTCTCCTGGCTTCTTCCTCCTCCCCACCCCATCTGCTCCTGACACCTGGGTGTCCCCAGCCTACTCTCACCCCAACCTCGTCCTCACCTCCTGGCTTCACACACTGTCCACATGTTAACAGCTCCCTGTGCCTCCCAACTGTCCCCTCCTAGCCAACACCTACTAGCTGCCATCACTTTGGGGTTTAATAAGCAACCAAAACCACGCCCTAAACCCAACCCCTCATCATTATCCCACCAAACTCGTTCCCCGGCTCCTTGTCATGTGAAAGGAAAACTCCCCCAGACCAAACTCTTAGTGGCACTGTGATGCCTGCCTTTTCCACTCAATCTGTCAGCAAATCCTGAGGCCGAACTTTCCAAATATCCCCAGAAGCAGGTCCCATATCACTGTTTCAACTGCACCCCATACCTGTCACCAGGACCCTCACAGCAGCCTCCACCCTGGCCCCAAGAGCCCCCCAGCAGCAGTGCACACAGGGTCCTGCCCTGTACCCCTCGGTCATCCTGACACACCCATGGGACCCCACCCTGAGCTCTGGGCCGGCTCCTCCCTGGGTGTGGAAAGGCCTCAGCTGGGAGTCTGCGGGGTTTACTTGAATGTCACCCTGTGCTGCCACGACTGCCCCACCCTCTCCCTCTCTCTCACACACATTCGCAGCCTGCGTCTCGTGCCCACTCCCTGCTTTGGCTCTTTCCACAGTTCTTTCTCCACCGAACACCGTGCTCTCCCCTGTCTGCCTCCAGAGCGGTCCTGCCCACTACGGCAGGTGCTAGGACATACACACTTAAATAAAATTAAACAAAACTGAAAATCCAGTTCCCGAGCCCCACCAGCCACATTTCAAGTGCTTGGCAGCCAGGGTCCTGGACAGCCAAAGAGAACGTCTCCATCACTGTGGGAAGTTCCACAGCCCAGGGTGTTCTGGGGAGCCCCACAGGAGTCCGTCTGCTTGTTTGCTGCTGACCCCACTGACTCACAATGGTGCCTGGCACCGAGCATTTGCTGAATGAGTGAAGGGTCTTGTTACTGCCTTAGAGACCCCTGTTTTCTGCCATAAGACACCCTGTCCACACGCAGGCCCTCAAGGCCAGCCCTCCCCTGGGCCTTGGACTCTGGCCATTTCTGACAGTCAAAAGTGCCTGTGCAAACGTTGGGCCCACCACTCGGCGCCCCCAGCCTCTCCCCTCGCCCAGCCACGTCTGTCTCATCCTGACCGCAGAACAATGGGCGCCTTACATTTTTCTGCTACTTTTGCTGACACCCGACAAACCCTGAGCAGAGCAGACACTCAGTGTCAGTGACCAGGGAGAGCTGCTGCAAGTGCAGAGAACCGACTCACAGAATGGGGTGCACGATCAGCTCCGGGCTGTAGGCCTTGATCACAGGCGCGGCCTCCCTGGCACAGAACACATGGGACAAATCCGCACCCTGGGAAACAGCACAAGAGGCCGACTTGAGAACCAGTCAACAGGCACCGCAGGCGGCTTCAGGCACGAGCCACTCGCCCACCACTAGACACACATCCACCCACACCAGTGACACTGCTCACTGCACACGTGGGAATGTTAAACTGTAGTAGTTAAACCTTGGCTAGGTGGCCTAAGAAAAGGACACGTAGCATGAGAAAATGCCTGGAAAGAAAGCCAGACTTCTGCTGCCACCTCAGAGGCAGAGGGAGGGACCACACGGCCCCAACCAGACCAGCCAGGCCTGGTCACCCTCCATGAAGGGTCACAGGAAGCAACTCGGCTCCGAAACCAAGCCCCTGCCCGTTAGCCGCCCCACTGGGACCTGATCAAATGGTGGGAAATGCCATGTTCCAAGGGCAACAACTGCTTAAGCTGGGACCAAAAAGACATCCCAGGGTCACTTTGGTGATGTACCACATAAATAGAAGTTTCATTTTTTAAAAAACAGGTTTCAAGTGATTTTGTCACTGCACAAGAAGTCAAAATAGATCTAAAGGTGTTTCTATTACCTATGACTACCCTAAGATGTTATTTTGATTTCCATCGAAACATGTAAGTAATGCAACTCTTTACTAGAAAAATCCCAATAAAGAAGTTTTAAGTAAACATACCACTTTGAGAGCTGAGATTGCTGCAAAATATGGGGCTCCAGTGTACCTAAAAAGAAGATTCTTAGAGTCAAAAACTTCTGAGACTAACATAACATGTTGATCAATAAATAAGTTATCGATAAAAAATATAGACATGAATAATACAGACATGATTATCGATAAATAAGAGAGACATAAAGCACCAGGCACACAGACAGCACCTAGCAGATGTTCAGTAAACATTCGATGAACAGGAATCAGAATGAGAACAGTCAATCTGCTACAAAAACCTTTGTACCAGTTCAGGAGAGTCAGCCTCTGGCGCAAGGGACTGCGGTCTCTGTGACGTGGACATGCCAGGTGAATGGCTCACTGCAGGCTTCCGCCCAGAGAGGAGGCAGAGGGACCACAAGCTCAGCACAGTCCAGGCACACAGGGTCCCACGGGGGCAGACCCCATTCTCAGGGAGTAACAGTCAGCAGAGGCCAGGTGGGGGTCCCCCATGACAAGCAAGGCACTGCACACACCTCCTGGGCTTCCCTCTGACTATTCTGGGTTCCTGCAACTCCATGTTCAATGTCACTTCAAGCACAGAAAGGAAGATCCTTGCCCTTGGCATCAGATGAGGGACTGTAACTTTTATGTCCATCCCAAGAAATGGAGAGTTTTACTATCAAAGTAAAACAAACCAGTGACAAAAGTAACCCATGTCACTTTACATACATGACCTTGTCCTGCAAAGCGGTGTCACCCAAAAGTGTAAACACAAAAGAAAGGACAAAACAGGCAACATGCACACTCTCACCCTACAATGTGAAAATGAGTCTCACTGATAAGAGAAATGCACTAAAACAACAGTTTGCCTGCTAGACTGGCAAAGGTTGCCAACACCTACGAGGGTGTGAGGAGTGGGTGCCCTTTGGTGGCAGCATGCCCTAGTACACAGGGGCAGGAGGCACTTTAGCAGTGTTCACCAGCACTTAAAATGTGCATGTACTCTGATCCAGTAAAAATTCTCCTAACATACCTAGTGACATGATAAACAGTTGAAAACGCAGGGACAGGCAAAGAGATACCACGTAAGTACAAAGTGAGCAGAAACAGTAACCAACGCAGCCTTTAAGTCAAAGGCAGAAGGTGTCATTCACACCCAAGGACAAGCTATCAACCTGTATGTCCCAAATAAAGCAGCAAAAACATGCAAGACCAGATGATGAAACAGGCCTTGGAAAAAATCTGTCAAAGTTCATAAATGATTTCCAGAAATACCTTTAAATTGACAAAGTAAACCAAGAAGTTGCTGAGTGTTTTACCCTGATTATAAAAGACATGCTTGTAAGTATGAAGTCTGGTGAATACGGGAAAGTATAAAATAGGAAAAAATAGTCACATCTCCCCTCTACATGCAAAACTTAACACCAACACATACCAGGGAAAACTCAATCAGGGCTCCTTAGGATTTTTCTTATTTAATCAAAAAGTTGATCAAGGAAAAACACTGAGTATCCTATCAGATGACATTTAAAAATGATTACTGGGGTCACAATAGACAGACACTGGATGATAGGTGGGTGAGCAGGTAGACACGGACAGACTTTTTAAGCACTAACATTTTATTATACTTCTGCCACTTACTCTTGGCAGCCTCCAACTACGCCTATTCTTCCATCTTGTCCTTTGTGCTTTCTGGCAGACAGAGGAGGTATAATATTTCTCACCAACTGGAAAGTATTTTCCATATCCTTTATCAAATGTGTTTTATGTAGGGAAAATGCTCTTTCTAAAACTGAAAAATAGGAAAATGAAATCAATTAGAATAGTAAATTAATATCTACTGGTATACATAAAGAACAGATTTAAAATATCCCACTAACCAAAACACTTCCCAAAGTTGACATAATATGAATGCTATAGGTTTCTACCCAATGGTTTCATTTCTTTAGGCAAATGATGCCGAAAAATTACGTTAACACTAACATAAGCTGTATATACCAAGTTTATTTTTTCTTTGTGGTTTTTTAACTTTATTTTCTATATTTGACAATCAGTGATTAGTCTCATCCACGTTGACTATCTGTAGATTTTTGAAAGTGGTAACAAGTACATTGGTAACCAAAGTATAGAGCTTGTTTGGTAACTCTTCATCCTCATTACATTTCCTGGACAACCACAAATGGATACGGTATGGGACATTCTTTATTCCTTTGGCCCAGACAGCTTTGTTGAGCCTGGTATCAGTGTGCACATCTGGAGTTCCCATCTCCTTCATGGCAGATTTCTGGATCTCTTTGAGTCCCAAGGGGCATGCTTCTTGAAGCCCACTCCATGGATGCGCTTGTGTATGTTGATGGTGTATTCTTGGGTCACCACTTCATTGATGGCAGCACGGTCCTTCTTCTCGCCACCCTTCTCTGCGGGAGCCATTCTGCCTGACCCGAGTCAGAAAGGACCCAAGTTTAATTTTGAAATGTATCAAATTTTGGAAGACCACTTCATCTTCCAGGAAGTTTTTTCAAGTAAGAAATATGCATTATTAATGAACTATTTTATTTCATTTCAATTTCCCTTTATTAGGTTGTTTCTCTCCTCACAAATTGGAAAGCAAGCTCCGTTTGTTATCTTCCACTGTTAAGTTCAAAAGTCTGACAGATTCCTCTATTACTCCCAACTGTATTTCCAACACTCAACTGGATACTAATTAAATAATCTAAAAATGACATTCTAAATACAGCATATATGTTAAATTGGGTTCAAAGTGGCATTTAAAATAATGTGATTATTCTGAGTTGTCTCTAAACAGCTACATTTTAATTGGCCTTTCTTGAAAAACTTCCTACTTATACATTTTGTCTTAATATTTAAAATAGCTCAGGTATGAGAGAAATACTGATACATTCTGTAGAGCCCAAGGTATGAATAGGTAATAAAGTATATATTCTCTCCAGAATTAAAGAATTCTCGCAAATATAAACAACAATTTTCAAATAAGGCATTCAACATTTTCATCCTTCCAATTATCTCCGCAGCTGAGAAAAACTAGCTGTGCCACAAGTTCCACTGGAGACCAAAGCTGCCGGAGTGCTTTACGGTAAAACGGCTTTGTCTTCCAACTCTCCCAGTTTTGCTTTTTGTTCAAAATTATTCGAGTAATTTTTTTTTTTTTGCTTTCTACAACTGAGAATCCATCAAGTGATGGATTTAATGAGTAGATGTAAATGCCTTAGCTGATATACCAGATGCCAGACCCCAAGGTGGAAGGATAATATTAATTCAACCTAAATGCCTTTTCACCTTCTTCCAAACGAACACAGAAAAGACAACTCAGCACAGAATCACTGTAAACCCTTGGCCAAGAAAAGGCACAACAAGGCTTGCTGCACTAAGTGTGGCTGGGTGACCCTCCCAGCACCCAACGTCCGTCATCACGAGCCAGTCTGCTCCGGTGACCTGTCGGCAGCCCTGCCCCCAACCAGACCTGGAGCCAGGCCTCAAAGGCACGGAGATGCCAGACTCACTCTGCTCTAATTTCCTCCTCCCCTCAATTCACCCAACTTCCTGTTTGCCCATTTGCCCTCCAAACTCCAAGACTGAACATTGTCTTTTCACCATGCAACATGTACTGAACAGCATAAATGCTCCTCCCCTGGTGTTCCCTGTGATAAGCTGCACGACAGAAATCAGACTTGTTATGGTTAAATTTAATGACAGTTCACTGAGTGCTGATGAACAATCCAGTTATGAAAACGCTGGACATGCACTTGTTTCAAACCTTAACATATCTCGCATCATAACGCGACTGACTGATACAGGAATATCAGAATTTTCACTCATTCGAACCCCCAAAACAAGAAATACAGTCACTTTTTAGAGTCTAGGAATTGTAAAAATAGAATCCAAATCTACCAGTCATTCAAAGGTTGTTCTGGTTTCTCACATTTTGTGTTTATTGTATACTAACCCTTTGTATGAAGCACTTAGCCACATATAAAATATCCTACGACCAAGTAATTTCATTGTATGGATGCTAGTTTTAAAAAGTTCTGTTTCCAAACCAGCATTTCAATAATTCTTCCAGGAAGTGGTTATTGAGATAATAATTTATATTACCTAAGAATTATAATCAGTATTAGTAACTGAATAAAGGCCATGTCAGCCTTTGATAATATTTAAGGACTTCAACATTTAGCAAAGATAGTCTGGATGAAATTATAATCATTTTTATTGTTTGTCACTAAATAAAACATATGAAATGCTTTAAAATGTGCATATCCTAACAGGCACATCCTCTATCAGTTTAATTTCCCTAATTTTTCTGTCTTTTTAAATGCTCACGAAAGATTTGTAAACATCCATTTTCCAAAGTTTTCATAAACATACTTCTTTTTTTAAAACAAGATAATGTTTGCAAAAGTCACAACAAAATTTAACGTACAATTTCACCACTGAATTTCTATGTGAATTAAAATATGACTAATAACACTAAGAAGTCTTCACTATAATGTCTGATCATTACAGAAGAAAAAACGAGAGACAACACATGAAGTATCATTAAGTGTAAAAACAGAAATATTATGAACCCATCATCAAATCCCTCCAGGCAGGCTAAATTATAGTTTAAAATAATACACGTCTCTATCAGACATTTATGGGTATAGATGAGAGCTCCATCTTTGTTGTCGGGGGCTGTCCATGCACTGTAGGATGCTGAACGCCATCCCTGGCCTCCACCCAATCAGCAGTGCAGACACAAAAACACACACGCAAGTAGTTGTGACAACCAAAAATGTCTCTAGATGTTGCCAAATGTTTCTCGGAGGGCAAAATGAGCCCTGGTTGAGAACTACTGGTACAGATGTGTGTAGTTTCAGCACCTTTAAATACACCTGTGCTTCAAATTAAATCATATTTAAGATCATATAAAACATAAATTTTGACTCATGAAATCACAGAAAAAAACAATTTAGTCAGACTTCAATTAATGGATGTTAAAAATGAACATTTTTATAGCAATCTAACTCACCTGATGAAAACTCTTAAATGCTAATACTTGATAAAAAGGAATTAAATCGGTCCAATAGATAATACCGTACATTTTTTAGGAAGCCTCTTTCCCCTAAATACTCAAGATTCATATTGTATAAACATCTATATCTTAAATTTCAGATTTTAAGCCTTAAAAATTACTATAGACAAGGTATGAAATATTTAATCTCTATGTCAAAAGGGCAAGTATCATAAACCGACATTTAAACACCCATTTGCACTCTGCCTCATAGTTGAAGTAACCTATATTACCAGAAAAGATTTGACAGAAAACTAAGCTGTACCCACAAGTTGAGATACAGTTCCTAGGGGAAGGGAAATAGCTGCTGCCACAGAACTGATGTCACCCACACACCCAGTGGCATGCTGCTGTTGCGGGAACTGTAGCCTGGGGGACTGCCCGCACCTAGCCCATAGCCGCAGCCATCTGAGCTCCCAGGCACACTCTGATTCCAAATGCCCCATTCAGCTTCTGCTCTTCCGACTCCAAAAAGTCTCTTCTGTGTCCACACTTTGCTGTAAAGGCTTCTCATTGTTTTTGTCCAGAGGTATACTGCTATGCACCATTTTAAACTTTCTGGTTGAGAAAGATGTGCTAGAGTGGGCATGGATATGCATGGTTAAGCCTATTAAGTTTTAAAGCAAATAATGATTTTTGTTGTTACTCAAATAATGACAAGTACACATATTTTTCCTTCACTTCAAAATAAGCTTTATTAGAATGGTAAGATATCAAGGGTCTTAAAAACAAATACGGCATCCACTTTCTATGGCAGATTTACCTATAGTAGGTTAAGCATTGAAAAAAATTTTTTAGACCAGGCGCGGTGGCTCACGCCTATAATCCTAGAACTCTGGGAGGTCAAGGCGGAGGATCGTTTGAGCTCAGGAGTTCAAGACCAGCCTGAACAAGAGCGAGACCCCATCTCTACTAAAAATAGGAAGAAATTAACTGGACAATTGAAAATATACAGAAAATTTAGCCAGCCATGGTGGCGCATGCCTGTAGTACCAGCTACTGGGGAGGCTGAGGCAAAAGGATCGCTTGAGCTCAGGAGTCTGAGGTTGCTGTGAGCTAGGCTGACACCACGGCACTCTAGCCTGGGCGGGCAACAGAGTGAGACTCTGTCTCAAAAAAAAAAAAAAAAAAAAAAAAAAAAAATTTAGCCAAAAATATATATTCTGATTGTGTTAAAACTCACATTACATTCACATAACAGTCTTTATAGTACCTACAAAGAAAACATGGGGGAAAATTCTGTTTTAAGCTATTCCTTTATCTTATATAGAACTAGCATTTTTGATCCAAAATTGTGCAAATCATGCTACCTCCATGGCAACTTGACCAGGACACCAACACAAAATTCACCTCTTCCTTCTGCTCTAATGTCTTAAGACTTTGTCAGATTCCCAGTTTATGAGCTGCAATGCTACTGTAAGAGCTGGTCTAGGACTCCTTGAGGACAAAAAGCATCACCTGGATACTGAATAGCTGAAGTTTTACACATGGGAAAAGTAACTATCGAATGTCAGTTATTTTAAAACTATTTTAAAATCATAATGTAATTGATAGCAGCTTTTTGTTATGTAATTTTTAAAAATTCACGGTGATACCAAAGGTAAAGCAACTATTATCACACATGGGGTTCTGAAACCTTCCAAAGCACACAGAAAATATACGTGGTAGGGGCTGAACTGGACAAGAAGGAAGTTTTCATGTCTGATTTGGTGGGTGGGTGAATCACCACCCTACTGCCCTCTGCCTGCACAGAATGGGGTGTCACTCGGACACTGTGGCTTCCACGCAGCATTCACAGTGCTTCCAGGTAGGGCCCACCCTCGATCACCTGGAACAGAGCCTGGCACAGAATAGAACATGCAATAATATTTGAGAAAGTAAAGACATCTGGGCTCACTCTCCTTATTAAAAGCCAGTTTATCTTTCTTTTACAGAACTGACTGACGAGGAAACTGAGGCCCAGAGAGAGAACTGTGAAGATGCTGCAGTTAGTAATGGACAAGCCAGGCCATAAGACACCATTTTACCAAAATGCTGCCATTCTAAGGCAAAATAAGAAGTACATTTCCACTTTCTAGTTGGAATTGCATGAATGCAAACTAAAATCCAAACTGTGCCCTACCGTTCTGTCCCACTCGCCTGAGCAAACAGCTTCCCTTAGCAAAAGGGCAAAAGCAGGTCAGTTAAATTTCCCAGCAGTGAACCCAAAGTTTCAACTGGCTTACTGACATCACTATTGGACTTATCCACAGAAGTATTTAAATATAAACATCAAAGTTGTGAAGAATAGAAAGGCCTTGACAAGAGAACACTTAAAATTTATCCTATTTAGTAACTTTGTCTTCAGAACAATTCTGAGTCTGGAAGAACAGGTCAAGTCTGTTTGGTTTTTGTTTTAAAGCAGAATGGCTGGTTTTTGTTTTAAAGAAGCTGCTTCTTTGTGCTAAAAGTGCTTTAAGTTAACGTGAATTATAAGTAACTTACAGCATCTGACAATAATCCTTAAGTTAACTGAGACACTCCCTGAAGCCTGGATGGGAAGTCATAGTATTGACTCTACCTGGTTTTTGGTAAAAGGTTGCCAAGTCAGTCAGAAGACTGAAGCCTCAAACAAGCATTAAAAAAAAACTTGCTAACTGTATAGTGTGTAAATTTAAGGCAAACAGCTACCAGTAAAAAAATCTCTAAATAAAGTGGTGCTCAGAAGCCCCCCTGCTGGTGTGATTGAGGTGTGGGGGAGAGGCTGAGGGACCCTCCCAATGCATTCAGAACTAGCCTGCTGAAAAAGAAAAAGCCAAAACTCCCTGACAAGTATTCTCTGATCTTGCTAAACATACATACCTGAGCTTTGCCTACATGTCCTAGGTAGCTACATGCAAGGTCGTCAGAGTGCTATGGTGAGCTCTTCCCCTACAAATACTAGAAATTCCCTTTCTGTATATCTAGAAGAGAGATACACTGTTGGTGTGTACATACATACTCAGGTATATGCAAATTGGTTGAAGGTAAATTTTTCTAATGACTACAGCAAATGGCGCATTTTACCATTTCAGCCTCTTACTGGCTGAGGAATCCTGGCTAAGTCACTTTCTCAGAGCCTTTATTTACCTTCTACATAAAGGTGGATAACAGCAATCTCTCCACCTTGAGAGAAATGAGATCACAATACACTATTTAACTATATAAAAGATGTTAGACAAACTAATATCCACAAGGCAAAAAGAAAAACACCGTATGAGGAGATATGAGGCTACAAATAATTAGGATCTACTTTCTCAATTCATGTCTAAATTCCTTCTACATTATCCGTCCTATTTGAAAAGGCATCTCACAGTCCAGGGACCAACTGAGTTAGTTTTTAGTCCAGTAGAGAAGGCCGGCGCGGGGTCCTCGGGAGCGTCTGGCTACCACTATCTCTCTCGGTTCCGGGTGTCACTCAGGTTAGCCGCTCTCCCCGAGGGAACACCCTGCACACACAAGCCCTGGCCCGGGGAGGGCGAAGGAGGTGCCCGGGCCGGTCCAGTCCTTCTCCACGGCCAAATGAGGGCGTCCTAGTATCCAGTCCGTCTCGTCCAAGAACTTGCAGGTTTTGCGCGCGGGCGGCCGGTTCCTCGCCTAGTGAGTGGTACTGGGAGCTTCAAGCCGGGAATGCGGACACGGCCCTGCTCCGAGATGTCCGCGAAGCCCGCCTGGGTCAGCCATCTCGCCTCATCCCGGGCCATGCTGCGGTTCCGAAAGCTCCCGGCTAGCGGTACCCGCACTTCAGACCGCCAGCAGGGCTCGCGTCTCCAGCTCAGACCGCGGCAAGCCCCGGGAGCTGACGAGCACCGGCCCAGAAACGGGGCTAGGGCAGAACAGATGGACCCGACCGCGCCCCACGGTCCTCCTGCAGAAAAACGCGGGTGCAAACCCGATCCCGTGACCCCCGGCCCCCCATGAGGGCGGATCCCTCGGCGGCGCCTCCCTCTCGCAAGCCCAAAGAAGCAGCTCGCTGCCGGGTACCTGTGTCTAGCGGCGGCCCGTAGAACGCTAGCGCAGCCGAGAGGAGTGCGACAACGGCCGCGCCGGCGACTGCAGCCCCAGCGGCCCTAGTGGCCATCACCGGGAGGCCGGAATCGGTCTTACCTCGCTTGCAGGCCCGGATCACCACCCCGCGAACTCGCACAGCCATCCGACACCCTTCCGGGTTCCCGGCGGCCCCCGCGCCACCGCCGAATCCACAGTCATTAGGCGCTCCTCCCGGTTCCCAGCTGCCCACAAGTCGCTGCTGGAAGTGGGCTTTCAACTCAGGGGCTCGCCTCACCCCTGGACCGACCTCCACCAATCACGCTAGGTTCCGGATGATTGACAATGTCGCCGCCCAACCCTGCCTGGCCCAGCTCTGGCCTACCAGAGTTTTGTAGGAAGGCGGGTTAAAGAATCAAGATGGTCAGGTTTAGGCCTGTTTTCTGCTTTTTTTTTCGGTGTTTGTTTGGGCATGGGGCGTTACATAAAGTGACTGATGTTGAACGTTGCCCAATGAGCAAGCAGGTTGCCCACAGAGCACCTGTCGGAGTTGGTCATAAGAGGGCAGGTGGAGTGCCCTGAGCCCTCTGCCCCTATGCAGGGTATTATGTGCCTTTCTTTTGTGAACCAAAATAAAATCTTAAGGCTCCACCCCACCGGCTGACTGACTGGAACCTCTCCTGGCCAAGAGAATACCCTAAAACTGAGTTGCTGGCCAAGAGAGGGAGGTAAGACGTGCCTCATCATGCCCCACTACCTTCTTGGAGACATCCTTTGTAACCCATTAACAGGCTTAAGGCTATGCAAGACAAACCTGCAGGTCCTTAATTTACACAACAAATATATGGCATGTAGCTTGTCTCTGATTAATGGACTTCCTTAACTTAAAACATTCCTTTAGACAAAAGCTTCATTTTTAAATCAATTACAAGTCAAAGAGTCTTTAAACCCACCTATAACCTGTAAGCCACCCCCCACCGTACTTAGAGATGGCCAGCTTTTCAGACCAAACCAATATAAGCTTTCCATGTATTGATTTATGACTTTACCTGTAATCCCTGTCTCCCCGAAATGTATAAAACCAAACTGTAACCCAACCACATGGAGTCCACTTGCTCAAGGCTTCTTGGGTGTGGCTCCAGGTCATGGTCCTCAAATTTGGCTCAGAATAAACCTCTTCAAATTATTTTACAGAGTTTGTTAAGGTACAGAGTGCGAGAAGTGACCACTGAGACACTGAATTGAGCCAAATTGTGAGTCTTTATTAGCTGGCCAGCAACTACCCTCTGCACCGCTGAGAGGCAGCAACACAGAGAGCAGTCTAGAGCCAAAAAGGTGAGGAGACTTTATACTAATTTTGGGGGGAGTGGGGCTACGTGACATTAAACACGACATAGTGGAACAAAAATAATTACATCATACATTCCATAGCCTTGGGGTCTGGGACCTGCCTCAGACCACCTGCCTGGCCTGGGGACTGATTACAATCTTTGAGCAAGCAAGGTTACAGAAGCAGATAGCATCAGTTAAGGCAGGGAGCATTCTTTCTTGGGTGAGGCAAGTACAGTAAATTTTACCGCAGACAGCTGGGGGCTTTACACAATCAGTTATAAGGTCATTGCTTACAGAGTACAGATTTTTCTATTAAGGGCGAGCTTTTTACTCTATAGACAGGAATGACTCTTGAAACAGCGTTTTCATAATAACTTTTCATATTTTTGAGGCCTAGTACTACAAGTTTGGCTTCTTTTCCATTGACACTTGGTTGGCTCCAGGCCGTACCTATCCCATGAACTCCAAACTCTTATATCCAGCTGGATATCTCCCAAACAAGCTTACTCCAAATTCCTGCCATCTTCCCCGTCTCAGTAAGAAGCGACTCCATGATTCCTGCTGCTGGAGCCAAGGCACCGGGAAGGTGTCCCGACTTCTCCCTTCCTCTCATACCTCTGTTAATGGGAAAAAACCAAACTCTGTAAAATAATTTTAAAGAAATTTATTCTGAGCCAAATTTGAGGACCGTGACCCAGAGCCACACCCAAGAAGCCTTGAGCAAGTGGACTCGGTGTGGCTGGGTTACAGTTTGGTTTTATACATTTTGGGGAGACAGGGGTTACAGGTAAAGTCATAAATCAACACATGGAGCTGGGCATGGTGGCTCACGCCTGTAATCCTAGCACTCTGAGAGGCCGAGGCGGGTGGATCGTTTGAGCTCAGGAGTTCGAGACCAGTCTGAGCAAGAGCGAGACCCTGTCTCT